AAAAAAAGGGACAAAGTCACAAAACAGTACCAGACAAAAAGTTATTAGGTGAAATATGCACACTTCCAAATGCATGCATGTTGGCAAAACTATATAATAATTTGATGAGAAATATTTTTGTATTTATTCTATAATCCTATTAGAATATTATATAATAGACTACTGATTCTTTCACTAATAGGTTGTAGGATGAAATCCTGGGTTTTATCTGGATTTTCTTCCGTCTTGGTGCGCTTCATGTGAATAGGATCGCACTCTTTTTTCACTCGTTTCTTACAAATCCCATTTCATTTTCACGCCTCGTTTTCTCTTCATCGTGTATTCCTCTTAGAGTTTATTCGTTTGTTTGTTTAAAGTTTGATTTTACTTGCGTATATAAAACTCATGGTGTTATTTCAATTCAACTCAAATCATTGTTTAATTAAGTAAATCAGATGATTAAGCGGATCAATCTGTCGTACTTTTTTTTAATAAAAATACATCATATATGAATACATTAATTAAGGTCAAAATGGATGAATCAAAAAAGTCAAAACGACATTTATTTTGAATTGGAGGTAGTATCATTTTATGTTGATCTTTAAGTATGACATTTTGACCTTAATTAATGTATTCATATATGTTTTTTTATATACATATATATAACCATTAAACCTGCATAATATCACCACCATTAATAAATAAAACACAACCCAACCTTTTATATAATCCAATTGCAAGGAACATCGACATAAATTTTCAACCCATCAAATTCCCACGTTGCAAATCATCCATTTTTTTTACTGTATTATTTTTTTTTATCTAACCGTAAAAAAAAAATCCTCCAGATATTGACACGTATCACTCGATGAGAAACGTAAGACATTACGTCACTCTGCAACAATCAAACACATCGAATCTGAATGAAACTAACGGGAGATACTACGGTCCAGTTACGGTACCATCCCGTCGGTTGTTTTAACCGTTAGATCTACGTGTAGTTAGATAAGATCGATGATCCAACGGTTAAAACACCCGACGGGATGGTACCGTAACGGGATGGTAGCATTTCCCGAAACTATAAACACAAACTTCCACATTATATATTGTTATGCTACGGAGCCATTGGTTGGCTCGACTTATGGAGTCATCTCCATAGAATTTTTTTGTATATATATATCTATTCACACACTACACACAGTGAAAATATTGACCATTTAACTAATCGATTTTCAGATTATATGCATACCATTTATGCTTTTGGATGTGTAATAATAAATAATATTACAACAACAATATTTGCAGTGTTTGAATGGATTGATTGACGAGTAAAATTGCATTCAAGGGCCTAGGGCCAGGTGAGCTCCTCCCTTTTTGTCTGTAATAATAGTTCTTTATTTTCATTTTTTTGGGTCTTTATTGTGATTTATTTAAAGTTTGTTCATTGATCTAATCAAATATTGGGCCCCTTTTGTTTTTTTGTGTTGTTCATTAGGCATTTGCAAACTCTTTAGTATGGTGGCTTTGTAATTCTCTTGTTCTTATTAAGAAGAAAATGTTGGATATTTTGGTGTCAAATTACACGGGAATCCTACGAACTGATATGTAATTTTCAGTTCTTACAAATAATCTAAAATAGAAAATTATAATTGAACTGAAAAAATAAATTACAACTGAAAAAACGGAAAGATTTTAGCCGAGGCGAGTAAAACTCTTTCCGCAGGAAGAATACGCCCCGTGTGGCAGCTAACGGTTCAGGCGTAACTTCCCCAAAGATACAACGGCAAACGTCTCTAAATCTGTAGCACACCAGATTTACGAGCACCGGCGAACTTGAACGGAGTCGAGAAATGAGCACTAAAAATAAAAAGATATATCATAAAACAAATAAAAATATTATTTGTTCCTTCTCTTTTTAATATTTTTTATGTCCGATAATTGAACATAAAGCTATCTTTTTTATTCTCTTTCCTTTCTTTTCTCTCTTTCCTTTCTTTCTTTCTCTAATTCTTTTTCAGTGTGTTCACAATATTTTTCCACACACTATTTCAAAAGAACCGAGAACCCATATATATATACAACTAGGAATCACAATAATTGGTAGATGAGGTGTTTGGATAATAATGCATAGATTAGTTGTTTGGAAAATAATGCATCCAACATAAGTTGACTCCCATAACTACAAGTGTTTGGATAATAATAAGTTGGAAGAATCAGCATCAATTAGGAGGAATCAATTAGTTGGAAGAATAAGCATCAATTAGGAGGAATCAATTAGTTGGAAGAAAATAATTTACACTCATTGACTAATAGAAAATTGGAACAAGAAAGTGAGCTTTTTTGAACTTCTGCTTTTGAAGCTCACTCATGTGGATATTAATGTGAATTTGAGAAAGGTTTGGTCACTTGGTGCAAGTTCACTTCTTTTTGGGGGACCCCATTTGCAATTCTTGTCAAAGTTTGAATCTTGGAGCAAAAAATGAAATAAAAATGCAATTCTTGTCAAAGTTTATCACTTCTTGATACTCACTTACATGTTACATATGTGGGTTTATGTTCATTATTAGTGAATGAGAATCAAATTTTATTAGCTTCTTTATTTCACTTATGAGGTTGAGTTTGTATGAAATTCTCTGTGTTTTGATTGATTGATCACATTAAAGCTCACTTGTTTAAGTTTCTTCAAGTGGGGATTATATATGGCAGCTCTGTTGTTTACTTCTTGCAAAGCTTAATTAAGTTGCCTGATAAAAATTGGTTTTTTTTTTCTCTTTTCATGTGATTGAACTTCAGAGCTTGAAAAGGAGTAAAGAGTTTGATGGGGAGCCTGTGGATTGTGTTCTGTGGAGAATCCAGTTGTGATTTTAACTTGATACTTCTCACAAACCCTTCATCTTGCATTAACAATGCTCTAACCGTTTTTCTCGACGCTCTTTTACTAATCGCGTTCTTCGTCGTTTTCATTTCCAAACAACCTTTCAAAGAGAACTCGAGCAGGGTGTCGAGTTTGCAGCTAATCTCCGCTGTTTACAACGCCATTCTTGGTTCGGTTAACTTAATTTACGGAGCATGGGTTTTAGAAGAAAACTCGAGTGAAGGTCGAAATTCTATTTTACCCTTACATTCGTGGGTGATATTCGTTTTTCACGGCTTCGTATGGTTGCTCGTGGGGTTTGCCGTAAGTCTCAAGGGACTGCGTTTTTCGAGAGCTTTGTCCGTTTCGACTTTCGTTTTTACCGGAATTATTTTCGGTTTGTCTCTGTTCAATGCTGTTGTTCTTGAGAAGAAAGTCTTGATAAAGACCGTTTTCGATGTGGGATCCTTTGTAGGATCTTGTTTACTAATCTCGTGTGCTTACAGAGGCTATAGACATGTAGACAATGATGATGATGATGATGAAGAAGAAAACGAGATTTTTGACCCATTGCTTAAAAAAGACCGGGTTGATCAAAACGTAACACCATTTGCTAAAGCGGGTTTTCTGAGTACATTCACATTCTGGTGGCTAAACCCGTTAATGAAAACGGGTAAGGAGAAAACACTCGAAGACGAGGACATACCGAAGCTACGCGAGGATGACTGCGCAGAATCGTGCTACTCGCTCTACTCAAACATTTACAGCCGTAAAAAAAAATCAATCTTGAAAACCATTCTCTCATGCTACTGGAAAGAGATCTTCGTCTCGGGCTTCTTTGCGTTCCTTAAGGTCGTCACGATCTCCTTAGGCCCATTGCTTCTCAAAGCCTTTATCAAAGTCTCCGAAGGAGAAGAAAGCTTCGAGCACGAGCGTTATTTGTTAGTCTTAGCTCTTTTCTTCACGAAAATACTCGAATCGGTCTCTCAAAGGCAGTGGTATTTTCGGTCGAGGCTAGCCGGCCTCAAAATCCGATCTTTACTAACTGCAGCTGTCTATAAAAAGCAGCTGAAATTATCGAATTCCGCTAAACTCGAACACTCGAGTGGCGAGATAATGAATTATGTAACAGTCGATTGTTACCGAATAGGCGAGTTTCCCTTTTGGTTCCACCAAATTTGGACTACTACTCTCCAGCTCTGTTTTGCAATACTCATTCTTTTTCAGTCCGTGGGGCCCGCAACAATTTCATCGATTATCGTGATATTTTTGACCGTTTTTCTTAACATGCCGATCGCGAAATTGCAGCATAAGTTTCAGACGAAGCTTATGGATGCGCAGGACGAACGGCTCAAAGCTATGAACGAAGCTCTTGTGAATATGAAGGTACTTAAGCTTTACGCGTGGGAGACTCATTTCATGCGCGCGATCGAAAAATTGAGGTTAGTCGAGGATGTCTGGTTGAAGGCCGTGCAGTTGCGAAAGGCTTACAACTCATTTTTGTTCTGGTGCTCGCCCGTTTTGGTCTCGGCAGCTACTTTCGGCACGTGTTATGTGCTCGGAATAGAGTTATCCAGTAGCAATGTTTTTACGTTTGTGGCGACTTTAAGGCTCGTTCAAGATCCGGTGAGGACTATTCCGGATGTGGTTGGTGTGTTTATTCAGGCGAAAGTGGCGTTTGTGAGGATAGTGAGGTTTCTCGAGGCGGCGGAGTTGGTGAGCTCGGGAGTTCGTAAGGAGTTAATTGATTGTGGTGTTGTTAGTGTTTTGTTCGAGTCAGCTGATCTCTCGTGGGATGAGAAGAATGCGTCGAGTAAGGCGACTGTTCGGGACGTCAGTTTGGAAGTGAAGAGAGGGGAAAAGATTGCGATTTGTGGGGAAGTTGGATCGGGCAAGTCGACACTTCTTGCGGCGATTCTTGGAGAGGTCCCCATAACTAAGGGAAATGTGAGTTGATATTTTTTGCTTTTTATTATTCTATTTTTTGCTTTGTCTTGAATTTGTTTTGTAGTTGAAGCAAAATGCATAGTTCAGGGGGGTGAGATGCAAAAAAAATAAAAAAAATAAAAATAAAAATAAAGTTTCAAATATGCATTTGGAAGTAAATTTCAACTGTAACTTCTTGTGGTGCAATCTACTCTCTTCAAGTTCTTGTGGTGATATTTATGCCTTTTATTTTTCTAATTTTTGCTTTTGTCTTGAATTTGTTTGGTAGTTGAAGTAAAGAGTAAATTACACAGCTTTAATTGTCTTTTTGGGGTCGTCGAGCAAAATGCATTTTCAGGGGCGAGAAGCAAAAGAAAAAATAAACGAAGCTTAATGTGCAAAATATGAAAAAATCGTTTATGTCGAAGTAACTTTCGCCAGTTTTCAGTGTCAAATATGTATTTGGAAGTAAATTTCAACTGTAACTTATTGTGGTGCAATATCTACTCTCTTCAGGTTCAAGTTCAAGTTCTTGTGGTGATATTTTTGCCTTTTATTTTTTTCTAATTTTTGCTTTTGTCTTGAATTTGTTTGGTAGTTGAAGAGTACATTACACAGATTTTTAGTTGTCTTTTTGGGTCGTCAAGCAAAATGCATGTTCCGGGGGGGCGACCCGCAAAAACATCTAAGCTTAATGTGCAAAATGTTAAAAAAAAATATTGTTTATATCGAAGTAAATTTCAACTGTAACTTCTTCTTTTGGTGTGAATGTAATCTACTCTATTCAGGTTCAAGTTCATGGGACCATTGCGTATGTTTCGCAATCTGCGTGGATTCAGACAGGAAGTATACGAGAAAACATTCTCTTCGGCTCTGCAATGAACAACGTGAGATATCAAGACACGCTCGAGAGATGTTCGCTCGTAAAAGATCTCGAGCTTCTACCTTACGGCGATTTAACCGAGATAGGTGAAAGAGGCGTTAATCTTAGCGGTGGTCAAAAACAGCGACTTCAGCTCGCTCGTGCTCTCTATAGTGATGCCGATATATACCTCTTGGATGATCCGTTTAGTGCTGTCGATGCTCAAACTGCCACGAGCTTGTTTTATGTTCGTATTTTTTCCGTGTTTAAGGTTTTTTTCTTTTAAAAAGAATTATTAGTTACAAACGCTGATTTTGAGCTCGGCAGGAATATGTAATGGGAGCCCTTTCGAAGAAGACAGTGTTACTCGTGACTCATCAAGTCGATTTTCTTCCTGCATTCGATTCTATCTTGGTGAGTTAGTTCATCCTCAGCGATTTTTCGATTATGTCTAAGCCTTTTTTTATTTAATGTCATGAAAATTATGAAGCTTAAGTTGTTACGCTCCGTTTGGTAAAATAGCTGATTTGATAGCTGATAAGTGATTTTCTAGCTTATAGCTTATAACTTATGACTTACAGCTGAAAAGCTAGCTTATATGATAAAAGTGTTTAGTAAAATTAATAAGCTAGCTAAAATAAAATTTTCAACGAGCTTATTTGAAAAACTACCTAAAGAAGTATATCAGATAAGCTCGAGCGTTTTAAAAAAGCTAGTCCTACCAAACGAAACTTATTTGAATACAAGGAATTTATAAGCTTATTTGGTTACCTCACATAGCCTTAGTCGTCGTCATCATCACCATCGTTTGATGACATTTTTTGTACAGTTGATGTCTGATGGTGAAATCTTGCACGCGGCGCCTTACAACGAGATGATAGCCACGAGCAAAGAATTTCAAGACCTCATTAACGCGCACAAGGAGACAGCTGGCACCGAGAGGCTTTCGGAGGTAACCAAATCCTCCCGAAGCCCCGAACCATCATCCTCATCGAAGGAGATTCATAAAACGTTCTCGGAAAAAAAAGCTAAAAAAACTCTGGGAAGTGATCAGCTAATCAAGAAAGAGGAGAGAGAAACGGGCGACACTGGTTTCAAGCCCTACATTATATATCTAAAGCAGAACCGAAACCGAGGATTCTTGATATTCTCTATGGCTGCCATGTGTCACCTAACTTTTGTTATCGGGCAAATAATACAAAACTCGTGGATGGCGGCAAATGTCGACGACCCGAATTTCAGCACGTTGAGATTGATCCTCGTGTACTTGCTGATAGGGGTAATATCGTCATTGTTTTTGCTGACGAGGACATTAACGACAGTTGTCCTCGGTATGCAGTCATCGAGAGCTCTGTTTTCGAAGCTTTTGGTGTCTTTGTTTCGTGCTCCGATGTCTTTTTACGACTCCACGCCTTTGGGGAGGATTTTGAGCAGGGTAAAAATCTATCTTTCGGCCAATTTTTTTTATTTTTTTTGGTAAATGGAAAATAAAGAGATGAATTATGATTATTGTTGCTTGCAGGTTTCGGTTGACTTGAGTGTTGTCGATTTGGATATCCCTTTCAACTTGGTTTTCACCTTCGGATCGACTACAAATTGTTATTCGAATCTCGTGGTGTTGGCTGTTATAACGTGGCAAGTTTTGTTCGTTTCAATACCGATGATCTATCTGGCTATTCGCCTACAGGTAATTGAGTAAAAATATCAAAAAAGAAAAAAAAAATATATATAAAGAGAAGAAAAAAATGGAAAGTCGATTTGATACGAAAATCTTCTACATATGCAGAAATACTACTATGCCTCGGCTAAAGAGTTGATGCGGATTAATGGCACCACAAAATCTTTCGTGGCTAACCATCTATCGGAATCTATAGCCGGGGCCACCACCATAAGAGCTTTCAAAGAGGAAGATCGTTTTTTTGCGAAAAATCTCGAATTAATCGACACCAATGGAAGCCCTTTCTTCCACTATTTTGCGGCGAACGAGTGGTTGATCCAAAGGCTCGAAACACTTAGTGCAGCCGTACTTTCCTTCGCAGGCCTCTGCATGGTTTTACTTCCGCGTGGAACTTTTAGCTCCGGTTTGTGTTTTAACATACAATTTTCGAAATTTGCTGCCCTTTTTTCTTATATATATATATATATATATATATATACATATATATATATATATCTAATAGATTTCTTAAAGGTAATGAGGTATTCTGTATTTGATTTTGATTGTTTGTTGTTGCAGGATTTATTGGAATGGCTTTGTCTTATGGCTTATCTTTAAATATGTCCTTAGTGTTCTCTATCAATAATCAGTGCCTGCTAGCAAACTACATTGTTTCTGTAGAAAGACTCGACCAGTATATGCACATAAAAAGCGAGGCACCGGAAGTTATAGAAGGTAATCGCCCACCGGTCAACTGGCCGGCTGAGGGTAAAGTAGAGATTCAAGACTTGAAGGTACTAAGCATTTTATGCACACATATTTTACGGAATGGACAATTATCATAGTTTTTCGCAAGAACTTCCTAAATATACTTGTAATTCGAAACAGATTAGATATAGACTGGATGGGCCACTTGTTCTACGTGGGATTACATGCACGTTTGAGGGAGGACACAAAATCGGCATTGTGGGTCGAACAGGAAGCGGTAAAACCACTCTCATTGGTGCCTTGTTTCGTCTGGTCGAGCCTGCAGGGGGGAAGATTTTAGTGGATCGAGTAGATATCTCGACAATTGGGCTTCACGATTTGAGGTCCCGTTTCGGGATTATACCTCAAGATCCCACTCTTTTCACCGGGACCGTGAGATACAATTTGGATCCGTTGTGTCAGCATTCAGACGATGAAATTTGGGAGGTAACTAAAGGTTCATTTCTCGCTTTAGGGCGTGCTTGGATACAAATATATTCATTCAAAACGAGTTTTATTGGTTAACTATTATTAATTTTGAAAAATGTGGTATGATTAGTTGTTAGCGGGATTTTGATTTTATATTAAAATATTATTTAAAATAAAATAATTAAAGTTGATTTGATGTAGAAGCTGGAGATAAATGATGTCGAGTGATAGTTAGTTAAAATTATGTGAGTGAATGAATAGTGAATTTAAGTTTATGTAATGTGTAATAATGATTGGTTTGTATTATTTAATTATATTGATAGCATTGATGATAGTGGGGTTGAGATAAAGTTGAATTAAATTTTGATTATGAATTTAATGTGAACGAATTATATCGATAATGTTTTTTTCTTGTTCTTCCTATTTTTGTTTTTGAAACTTGAAGGTTTTGGGGAAGTGTCAGCTCAAAGAGGCTGTTCAGGAGAAAGAAGGTGGATTGGATTCACCCGGTGAGTAAGCTTTCAAGAAAATCGATTAATTAACAGTGACAGTAACAAACATTCACCCTAAAGTTTTTAATCAGATTGCAACTAACAAGAACTAATATATAACTTAACTGCAGTTGTAGAAGATGGGTCTAATTGGAGCATGGGCCAAAGACAGTTGTTTTGTTTGGGTCGGGCCCTTTTGAGAAGGAGCAAAATTCTGGTGCTAGACGAGGCAACTGCATCGATCGACAATGCAACAGACATGATCTTGCAGAAAACTATTCGGAACGAATTTTCAGATTGTACTGTGATAACAGTGGCTCATAGGATACCCACAGTTATGGACTCAACCATGGTTCTATCCATCAGTGATGGTGAGTAGAAGTAAAATTAACTATAGTTAAGTAAGAAACTTTGCTTATGTTTGAGACACGATTTTAATGTTATCTTTGTTGAAACAGGGAAAGTTGTGGAGTACGATGAACCAATGAAGCTGATAAAGAGGGAGAACTCATTGTTTGGTCAGCTCGTGAAAGAATATTGGTCACATAATAATCACTCTGTAGAATAGCAGTAAAATGCTCGATTGTTTACAATAATGTGTTTAGAGATAAAATGCGCACGAAGCATTTTTAGGATGTTTTGAAGATTAAAAGCGCGCAAGTCAGAATTTGGTATTACGAATTTCTTTCCAGATGAGTCTTAACTGCAATTCCCCGTTAAAATTCTAATATGCAATACCAGTGAGGAAAAAAATCCATTAAATATCGATTCAGACATGAAATAATTGTTCTCCATCATCAATAGTGTATAGTTACAATTTTAGTAGGAGTGTCATTTACATTAACCAAGCAGAATCACATCGAAGGTGGCTGGCTAATAGTAAAAAATTTATTTAAAAAAAAAGGAAAAAGAATTGCTATTTAAGAAATAGATCTATCGAAATCAACCTCATCATGGTCCTCCAAGTATGGCATTTTCGATATCTTCTCTACTCAGCGCATAACTGAATCTCCTCTCGACATCTTTCTCCAGATTACCTGGTCCGCTCTTTAAATACCTGCAATTGCATTTGTTCGAATGAGGGAAAAATGACTACCGCAAGTGAAATATGATCTCATATTCTCATTAATAAGCTGCAAGTCACGACTAATTTGTTGCATAACCGGAGAAAAACAGCTCGAGTAATTTCATTTCTACAATCCTCAAGAATGACATGATTTCGGCAGAAAAAAGCAAATGATCAAGAGAACACCTGACTTCCCATTTGCTTAACTAAATTTCTTCTATAACTTTAGATAACAATTTCAGGATTTCGATAAACTAAAAACCAAACAAGAACTATCAAGTATCAACAAAACATTGCTTAACGCCTTAAAAATTGCGCGTATGAACACATCCACGAAAAGGCTTGAAGCAACTCAGCCCGCATCTCATTGTTCGGAGCTTTTCCCAAAACATGAAAATACAAATGAATGTTGGTCATAGAAAGAACCTAAACACAGTCTTCTGCGTATGTTAATGAAACCTCAAATTTGAAGGAACGAACGTTGAACAACACAAAATGTCGGACAGAGAACATATTGAACTCATCAAGTGGCAACATCTTATCAAATTATCTTAGCTAGAGCTTTTTGTGACATACGATAAGCAGAAAAATGAAAGAACTTCTGATAGCACAGAACAAGAAATATCAGCAAAAAAACATTGCTAACGCCTCAAAAATTTGCACGTAATAAAACGGTCTACGAAAAGGCCACAAAAGCACCTCAGCCCACATATCATTGTTCGGAGATTTTCCAAGACATGAAACTACAAAGGAATGTTGGTCACACAACCTCAACACAGGCTTCTGCATATGCTACTGAAAAACTCAAATTTGATGTAATGAACATAGAGAACACCACAAATTTGGTGGGAGGGCAGTGGCTTCCTCATCAAATTATCTTTTTTTAGATATTCAGCAGAAAAAAAGGGGAAAATCCAGATAAAAACTCAATCTTTATCTAAATATAAAGAAAACAGTAAAATTGTTGCAGTTGACAAAATCACAAACCTTATGTATAAATCGGTGACATCAAGCGAGAGCTGCGCGTGCCAATCGGGCTTGTTGACAAGCCACACAGCCCTATCATCTCTGCTCTGGTGAAACCCTAGACTTTTCAGCCAAGCCTCGAGACAAGGCAAGCTGTGAGAGTACAGAGCGCTCTTCTTTTCAGGTAACTTTTGAAGCCACTCATCTTCAGCTTCCGAAAGCATGGCGTCCCCTTCAGACGACTTGGATCGGAAAAGGGTCCTTTTCGAAATTGAGGAGAAACTATGGGGGCGAGGTGTCGAATTTCTGAGAATTAAAGGGCTTCTGGATAAAACCTTCGAACTTGAGATTGGTGGAGGAGCAAGAATCGGAAATTTGAAGATAGAAATGGTGGGCATTTTTATTTTTTTTCTTTAATTTTTTTTTATTTTATTTTTTTCGTAACAAATCTATTTGCTGAGCCCTAATACTGATTTTTCATGCCCTTTTTCCTTTTTTCTCACAGTCGAATTGAAACTGAAGGTGCAGAGCAAATGATTGGAATATCAGAAGAGTGTTCACAGTTTACAGTCCATGGAGAGATACTGGAGAAGATGAAGATAGGGTTAAGAACGACGTCGTTGTGTGTACATAATAGAAGGGGGAAATTCATAATAGGCAGAAACAGTAAGGTCTACGATGCAATTTCCATATTAGACCTCCAAAAGGTTAAAATTCACAAATGGGCTATTTGGTACGAAGTTTTACCGTTGAAAAAAATTGCATCTCATTGACAATTTAACTTTTAAATAATAAATTTTTGGATGATACAAAAAGTTTATAACTCAATTAATGATTAATTTTGAACCAAACATTAAAATTGATTTAGTAGGTTTTGAAGCTCATGAACGAACAAAATAAGATATAGTTTATGGTTTTTTTATAGTTGATTATTCGATTATTGATCAATGAAAAATGTAAGCAGCACG